CCCCCCCCCCCCAAAAAAAACCCCATGCCCCTTTGGTAAGTTCTTTATTTCATTGTTCCACGTGCTTTCTGGAAAAAATTCATCGTACCATTGTTCAAAGGGCTGGCTGTGATTGATATTCATAGCTTTGTGTCGTCCTTGTGGAGGTCAGGTCCTTAAGGAGACTTCCAGTATAGGTGTTTTGGTTCTCCTAATGTAACCAGGTTGCCATGAGTCGGACTCGATTGAAAGATCCAAAAGGCACTCCAAGTAACAGGGGTTTGCTTAGATTGAAGTTAATGGCCCTTGAAATATCTGGCAGTGTCGAAATAAAGGAAACCGTTTTTGGGTGTGAACTGGTACATTTTTTTTTTTTGAGGTAGCGGCTTNTTTTTTTTTTTTTTGAGGTAGCGGCTTACTTTTATTAATAAAATATCACTTGTGGCAAACCGTGATTACATACTCGATCGTTGACACTACACCAAAAAATAAACTATATTTGCTAAACGACAAACGATTAAAACATTTTTAACGATAAACAAGCTAAACATGACTAATGAGAAAAACAAAGAAAACAAACAAACCAAGTCTAACAACCCGCCAAAATAACACAAATAAATCAACTACGAATATAAGCTACTCCAAGTCGATCTAAACAGACAATTCCACGAGCAACTCTGGTTAGCTCCATGTGCGAGTAAAACCTTGTGTTTATGCCTTTTGCACCTAATTTTGGCAATGTATCTGCCACTTGATATTTCCACTACTTGTAATCTTGTATCAAATACCAGCAACCTTGTTCAACCTTTTTTTAAAATACCAGCAACCTTGTTCATTTTCACTCAAAGGTGAACAACTTTGAAAGGGTGCAGCAAAGTGATGATCTGAGCTTGGTTATGCCTTGTGCGGTTGCAGTTATTGAATTGCCCTTTCGGGCAAAGAACTTTTATGCTTTGTCCAGTATTACAGAGAACAGTGCCCATGTATGTTTTATGTTCAGGTTACAATTTCCAAACGAACACGTACCACTTGAATATATGAACAGATTGAAGGTAAAAAAAGCTTTGCTATTTAAGTACATTATTTTCGTTTCTTTTTGTTTGATGTTTGACCATATTCGAAGAGACTTTTCCTTGTTCCGTTGGAGAAAATTTGGGGCAGGACTCTAATAAGAAAATAA